TAAATTTTTTAAATGGAGATTTCTTAAAAGTAAACAGAAATCTGCTCAGCTTCACTTACTCATAAATCAGAAGCACAACTAACAAAAATAAACTTACTTAAATTTATGTACTGGGTATTCAAGATACCTATGACTCTGTTCAACACCAAGTAGATGATTAATCTGATTATAATACTCTATAAATATTCAAGTCTTGTTAGGCAAACTTTTCCACAGGTAGTCTGTATACTTCGTTTCTTTGAAATTCACTAATACCTACAACATTCTTTCAAGCAACAGATTACAGACATTAACTGACCTGCCTACAATTTCCAAAATAAAACCAAAAAGTTTTTAATTTTCTCAATAAACTTTACACAAACAGAAGTGAGATGTTGTAGATTGGTCTTCAAATCTAAATGTGCAAGCACCTTGTCCAATATTACAAGCATTAAACTATACTTTCTAAGTCCTCAAAGCCAATCATATCCTTGGTCACTATACAGACCACACTTGAATTGACCTAAATTGATTATATCCCAAAATAGTTTAACAATGACACATTCCATAACTCTTTATAAGGATTAACATGTTTGAAAGAACTAGGATAGTACATATTTAAACTTTTCTGAACTAAATCAATTTAACATGATTGAAAAAGATCATCATGGGGCAGCTATGTGGTGTAATGGATAGAGCACCGGCCCTGAAGTCAGGGGGACCTGAGTTCAAATCTGACCCCAGACCAAACACTTGACACATTCTAGCTGTGTGATGGGCAAGTCACTTAATCCCCACTGCCTCATTTAAAAAAAAAAAAAAAAGATCATCATTACAACTGTCAATTATCATTGGAACACAGGATTTAGACCCAGAAAAGAATAGAGAAAATCAACTCCAATCACTCTTCCCTCCTCCAATTCTATAGATGAAGAAGCTACAGCTTTAAAAGTCTCTCAACTTGTTCAGGCCATAGGGCCATATCAGGATCTGAAACCAAAACACTTGACTATATCAAGTCCCTTTTCAACCCCCCGCCCCGTACAATAGAAAAATTTTGGTTATCTAACTTTTTCCAGTTTAGATTCCAGAAAGACAATTTACTGCAACTAGCTTCATTTCTGGTAATCACGATTAATTTTCTAGATGTCGCTTGGCTCTTGGGAAGTTGCTTACTCAGAATGGCCTCACAAGTAATATACCGTTAACAATTTATTAACTTAGAAAATGAGGCAGTATTTTACAAGTGAATCCTTACTAGCTAATATATTTAATGTAAACCTACAAGAAAATGAAACCCAAGATTAAGAGTTTACTGTGTTAACATAAAAGCAGTAAAATTACTTCAATTAGAGATGAAAATACATACACTAAAATATTAATTAAAAATAAATTTTAAAATTAAAGTTAAAATACTAAAATAGCCATCAACAGGATTCTTCATAACCATGAATCATTTTAACAATATTTAAAATTCTTAAAATATTCCCTAAAAATAAAAGTCTGTTAAAGGTACAGTTATCATCTTGATATGTATTTTTTCAGAATATACCCTACATCCCAGAATTTTAAATAGCCTTTTTTTTTAAAGAAAGAAATCTTTAATCTATAAAATATGGGAAAAGAATGAAAATGTTTTACAAAGACTAACTTCACAAAAGCTGCTAATCATAGCCTATAATCATATAATTTGAGAGTTTGGAGAGACTTTGGGAGAGCACTCATTCAACCTCTTAATTTTATAGATAAGCAAAGAGTGAATCAGTACACAATTTTGGCCCACCATTTAAATTTGCAAATGTATAGAGTAACTTTATTTTTTGAAAAACAGTTAACCAATTAGAATTTTCTACTGTGGCAAAATAATTCTGCAGTATGTAGAATATATTTCTGAAGTAAAGTACATTATAGTCTACTTTATTAGTCATTTTAATAACCTTGGGAAGTAAAGGAAGTTATAAGATTAAGAATTCCAAGCAAGGAGAATATAAAATTACTTATTAAAGTTCACTCTTACAATGTCAGAGCAGTGTAAAAAAACCAACTAGTATATTAATGACCAAGATTTCAGCATACCCTAATTCTAAAGTCATGTAAAGTAATTTTGGTATCTCATTCAAGAAGAATACTGTATATTCTTTTATAGCCATTATACTAGAATAAAATGGCTAATTCCAGGGTGGAAAATTAAGGAAAAAAAAAACTTAGCATCTAAATAAAAACAAATCACTCTTATAAATGTTAAATGTTTAAAGCACAGTCAACAGAACCTAGGGAAGGAGTTTTAAGTGTTATATGCTCCTCCCCCACACCTTAAGATTAAATGACTAGCCCAGGATAAATCAGTGGAAAGAACCTAGGTCTTCCAAAACAAGATTACTGTTCTTACCATTATAGACATATGATGGTTATTAATAAAAAGTTAACTCCTCCAAACACCAAAGTATGTTTCACAGACTGAAAACACATGATGTTTTTAATACTGGAAAAGACCACAGCTATAAATTGAAAATAGGAAGAAAATAATTTTCAGAACTACTCTCCTGAACCCACAAAATGGAAACATCAAGAGAGTACTGAATAAACAAGATACTAAATATCTGACTATATGGCAGACATCCCACTAAACAAAAGCATGGCCAAGAAATCCCACTGATGCTAACAGCAATTATATAAATACCATTTAAAAAAAGAAAAGACTTTGGGGTGTCTAAGTGAGCACTGGTCTAGGAGTTAGGTGACTGGTTCTAGTTTCAGTACAGCACTAGCTAGTTCTATGTGTTGTGACTGTTCAATCATTTCAGTCATGTCCAACTCTTCATGACCTCATTTGGGGTTTTCTTGGAAGAGAAACTGGAGTGGTTTGCCATTTCCTTCTCCAGCTCATTTTACAGATGAGGAAACAGGCAAACAACAAGGTTAAGTGACTCGCCCAGGGTCACAGAGCTAGTAAGTGTCTGAGGCTGGATTTGAAATTGGGAAGATGAGTCTTCCTGACGTCAGGTCAGTCACTCAATCCAATGTGCCACCTAACTGCCCATGGGTAAAATCACTCCATCTTTCTAGGCCTCGATTTCCTCTTCAGTAAATTGAGTTGGACTAGGTTAATTCCCTAGATATCCATTCTTCATACTCTAAAATTTCACAATAAATTTAGCATATTTAAAAGTTTCATTAATTTCCCCTCAATTCTGTGGGCAATAAATGCTAACTTTCTAATTTTCAGGCAAGCTGTTTTAAAACAAAGAAAGCATTTTCCTAAATTGGTTGAATGGAATGTAAGACCCCAAGAAAAAAATCTGAGTTAAAAAAATTGTAAATTTCCTTAAATTTTTTGTGCACCAATTTTCTGTCAAGCACTGTTATGTGTTCCTAAACGATCATTACCTTACGAGGCAGAACAACTTATTTCTTGTAATATTTGACTATGATCAATCATAACTGACTGCCGATGATGCCAAAACATTTTTAGAAAATAAAAATTCACATCAGTGCAGATAGTAACAGTACTGGGTAGTTTCAATTTTATATGGAAATATCAACATAAATCTAAAGGAATTTCAAAGAAGAATTTTTTCCAACTTCAATTCAACTTTTAATGACTAAAATTGCCACAAAATTAATCTCGAAACTCCCTTTAAAAGTAATTCTTAAGCAAAATCTTTTCATCTATACCAACCCGTTTCTCACAGAATATAAATACTAAAACCCAGACCAACCTGTGGCATTGTGAATTAAAGTATAAACACACTGAGGGATTAATTAATTTTAAAGATTCCAAGAACATATTTGAAAAAATGTTTGTTATATGCTTAAGATGAAAATGTCTTTCAAATCTGTTTCAAAACTGCAAGGGTATTTTGTCAACTTATTACATGCATCTATGAAACAAAGAATGTCCGTGGCCATTTAGGTGAATGCACAATGAGTTCTCACACCACAATTCCTCAATGTTTTCGGAGTTAGAAGCATTAAAAAGGAGTAATAAAAGTTTTAAGAAAAAAAATCTTGTATCTCTAAATATTCCACCAACAATTAAGCACTTAGGTACAAGTGGAACTCACAATTCTGTACCTGCTCCAATTTACTCATTCATGTTTTTCTTAAAAATCAGTTCACAAAGTTAAGATTCTGTTAAAAAAAATTACTCACCTCCCCCCCAATAAAAACATGTCTGCCACCTTTAAAGCAGTAGCAGGTGGCCAGAGGGGGAAAATGTTGGGCAAAAAAGAAATTTCTGGCCAAGGACATAGAGGTTAACATTGTTCATACTGGAGCAACCCACAGTAAGTATATTAGCTAACTATCAGGAAGGGCCTCGATTTCGAGAGCTCACAGAAATTACCCAAAATGACCCCAAAATAAATATTAATTTATCTATCTTTAAAAAGCTGGAGGCAAACCTCGAGGGCTGGTACTTAAATCTGTTTCCGGTGACTCAACGAAGCAAACCTGCTGCTCAAACCAGTAAGCCCCATCCCACGAACATAATTTCCTCCTTCCTTTCCGACAGAATATCCCCATTTCACCCCCCCCCCGGGGGCGGCTGCTGCTGCAGACCTTTAGCTTCAGCAACAGCAGCTGCTCCAGGGATTGGAGGATGCAAATAGATAAAGGGAGGTCAAAAGCAATCCAGCAGCCCCCTCGGAACCCTCCCCCACCCTCCACCTCCGGCCCACCCCTTCCCTTCAAATTTTCCCTCCTCTCCTTCCCTCGCACTCCCTACCTTCCCTCCTTCATCCCAACCCCTAAGGCCAAGGTCTTCCCTGCCCACAAACCTGATAGCGGAAGTGACGGAGGCCCGAGCGGCCCCCGCGGCCTCTCACGCTGGGGCAATGGGCGCCGTCAGCCAATGAGCGCCGGCCGGGGAGGAGGGATTTCAGGCGCCTCAAGTTTGATTGAAGTGCGGGGAGGGGGAGGGGAAAAGGTGTCTCTCCCTCTCACTCTCTTTCCCCACGTTCCCCTCCCCCTCCCCGCCGCCAGCTTCCTCGACTGGAGTAAGCTCCCAGGGCCTACCTCAGGCGAGGCGCAGGAGGCCGCGTCAGAGAGGGCCGAGTCCCCGCTTTCCCCACGCCCGGCGTGGTGGGCACCTGTCACCGCGGGCGCCGCCACCGGCCCGGGCCCAGCCCGCCCCCGCTTCTCCCTAGGCAGCCCGGTCGTCCCGGGCCTGGTGGGGAAGAAGCGGCCCCGCCGCGGCTCCTCACCCAGAGGGGCCCCAGCCCTCTTCGCCCGGCGCGACCGTCTCCCCCTCTTCCCCCCGCCCCTGTTCACCTCCCCCCACAGCCCGCCACCGCCTCTTCTTCCGCCTCAGAGGGCGAAGAAAATGGCGGCCGCTCCTGCCTCACCCACCTCAGGGCTGAGGAGAGGACCGAGGCCCGGGCCCGCCGCCTGCAGTCGCCGGCCTCGGGCCCCCAGCGCCGGCCGCTTCCCCGGAACGCCGTACGGGATAACCCGCGGCGGCAAGGACCCGGATGGAGTCGCGGGGGCGAGCGCCGCCGCGGCAGCCCGAGGTAAAGGCATCGCGGGAAGGAAGGAAGGGAAGGAGGGAAGGAAGGTAGGGCCCCTTGGCGGAGCTGGCAGCTCCCTGGCCGCTTATTGGAAGAAAAGAAAGGAATGACAGCTCCTCCGATCCATTCCTTCCCGCCGCGCCTACTTTCTCCCGCTCCCACTGGACTAAAGCAAAAGGAGCCCGCCCACCTCGAGGCTGAGATTCCCGACTCCCTTTGGTGAAGGGAGAACATAGAGCCCGCCTTCTCCGGATCCGATCCTCCTTTCCCATTTGTGGAAACCGAGGAGTGACAGGCCTTGTGGCCACCCTCCCCGCCTGGCCCTTAGCTCGGCTCCCGCCTGCCGCAGATTGACAGGCCTGTCGTCACGTGGCCGCAGGGAAGCCGTTAGGCCCGCAGTGATGGAGGGGCTGAGCATTGGGAAGAGGCCCATGCTGAGGGGCTCTCCTCGGCCGACTCCCCTCCCCTCCCAACTCTTAGAGCCTTAGTTTGCCCAGGATTTGCGATTGGCGATACTTTCCCCCTCACAACTGCCCTGTAAAGGGAGCGGCAGGCCCAGAGCTGGCATCCATTCTCGTTTTGTCAGAGGAGCCAACTGAGGCCCAGAGAAGTTCAGTGATTTCCCCAAGGTCACACAGCAGTGCCAGGTTTCCAACACAGGTCTCCTGACCCCCAGCCTTCGGTCTTGTGCTCACCTACCTCTGCGAAGGCCTGTGGGCAACAGGGACAAGGCCTGGCCGGGATGGGAGGTTAAATGTGAAGGGCCAGACTTTCTGTCCCAGCTCTGCCACTGATCAGCTTTGCAGTGACCTTGGGCAGAGGATCTAGAGCAGGAAGAAAGCTTAGAGATGGCCCGGGAGAGCCCCCCCTTTAAAAGCAAAAACCCTTAACTCCCTCCCAGGCCACCCCCTCCTCCACCTCCGTTGTCAGTCTTCCCCCGCCCCCGCCCCCCCCCCCGCAGCCGTGACTCCTCTCTTCTCCCTCTTACTCCTCCTCTTGGTGATCCCAGTTATGGTCCATTTGTCCAGGCCCTGACCTGCCCCACCACCTCCAGGCTCACGTTTCTAACGAGCTCATTGTCTTTCTCCTCCCCACCCCACGAGGGCACCACCGTCCTCCCAACCATCCCAACTCAGAACTTGGGGGTCCCCCCCTAGCTCTGGGCCTGTGCCCAGACTATCCCCTTCTTAGAATCAATGCCTCGTTGCCTCCAGAACTCAGCTCAGCCCTGATTCCCATCCCCCCAGTGGCTATTTTGTACAAACTTAATTTAACTATGTACATAGTATCTCCCCCTGATACAGTATATACAGTATAAGCTCCAGGAGAAAAGGGACTGTTTCATTTTTGTCTTTGTTTCACCAGAGGCCAGCAGTCTGTTACATAATAGGTGTTTGATTGCTCTCTGATTCTCTTTTTATATTCTGTATCAGCAGGTATGAGAATTTCTATACAACGAGTTGTCAGCTTGTAGTTACTGAGGTTTGGGATTTGATTGATATAAATGATCAATATCAATCAGTTAGTAAACTTGACTGTGAGCCACGACGTATATAAATTTTGTGTCCTCCCTTGCAAAGTGCTCTATGTATAGTAGATAACTAAATAATTGTTGAACTATATTAAATTGGAACACTATCATGCTTCTCACAATAATAGAAGCCACAAGTGAAGATAGTTTCGGTTTTGTTTCTGACATATCACTGCTTATGCCTTCGAAAGTTTGTTGAAATAGAACTTGGCAAGACATGGAATTTGAGAGACAAAGTAAAAACATTTGACTTCTAACCCTGCCTTGTATACCACATGCATAACAAGCAATTTCTTCAACAAAAAATTATTACAGCCATGGTTTGCACAATTCTGGTTGAAAAATAGCTGATAGAAATTAATCCTTTAGAATCCTGTTATCTTTCAAGGGAATTGATGCCTTAAACTGTTGCAAGTTTATAACAGCTCAGAATGGAAGATTGTAAAGCTGGAAGGAACCATGGATATCGTCTAATCCAGGCCCTTCGTATTATAAATTAGGAAACAAAGGCCCAGAGAGAAATGATTTGCCCAAGGTCACACAGCTAAATTAGTGGCAGAGCTAAGACTATCACCCTAGTTTCCTAACTCCCAGTTTAGTAATTTGTCCAGGAGTGTCATCATGTTTGAAGGCCTTTAGGAGATAAAGATACGATTAATCTTGCCTTCTAAGGAGTCTACAGTGTGTACTGTGCACAAAACCTGATAGAAAGAGGCTTTGTGCAATGCTGAAGACCAGTCAAACCAAAGAAATGGGGGTCCCCTCTGGGGGAATGCCCCCAGTGACAGCCCCAAACACATTTCTCACTGATGAACCAGAATGCCCATGGTATACAAGAGTTTGCCATAGTTGGCAAGAGCCAAAAGCCAGACACAGCCTAGGATCTCTCACAGCCTAGGATTACTTTTAAGTAGTGTGCTTAACTGTTCATCTATACCTAGTCCCTTCTTGATAGGATTGTGGGGCAGCCAGAAGCAGCTGCCTAAAAGAACAGCAGGGTCTGGCTTGTGTAAGGGTGGGTAAAGGAAGGCAATCTGGATGGGAGTTTACTCAATTATAATTTAGGGGAGGATGGGGTGGGAGCCCATTGAACCCACTCATGGTAAAACAGTAAGTAAATTGCTTTTGGTTTCCCTTTTCTCCCTCCCTATAGCCCATCTCCTCTCCCCTTTACACCCCTCCATCCCCCCAATGTATGTTGCCCTCCTGAAATCCTTAAGATGCACGTGACCACTCACTGTGGTATCCCACTAAGCATTCAGACCTGTCTTGCCTGGTTTAGTCAAATTCTAGACTTCTCTTCCTTCCTTATTCATCAAGGCTTACCTTTCCTGAAACCTCCTCCTTCTGGACCTTGCACTCAGCTAATCTGATAAGATGTTTCTTTAATTTGTGCAGGTGCTCCCTTCACTGATGCAGATCACTACCCCTCTATGTCACAGTACACAGTTTCATGAGTTGTAATCGAAAAAGTTGTCAGCCCTTTCTTGATAATCCATAGGCTGGTCCTCAGATGACAAACACACACTCCATCCCTGGGCCCATAGTCAAAGCTTTTTCAGCTTGGTAGGACATGTCATAGCTTATTCTCCATTAGTCTGTACAGAAGATAATAGTGAATTATTTTAGTGGAGGTGCTAATACAGGGGTGGGGAGCCTGTGGCCTCAAGGCCACATGAGGCCTTCTAGGTCCTTGGGTACCACCTTTTGACTGAGTCCAAGTTTTACAAAACAAATCCATTTGTTCTGTGAAATTTGGACTCAGTCAAAAGGCCGAACTTGAGGACCTAGAGGGCCACCTATGGCCTCAGAGGCTGCAGGTTCCCCACCCCTGTGCTAATACTTCTGTAGATATTAATGGGTTACTGTTTCCCTTTCTGGGTAACACATTTGCACTTTCACTGTGGAGACTCCTGGACTCCTGCAGTACACAGCCTACCTCTCATGGATAATTATGAGTTTTTAAAAATCCTTGAAAAATGCAGTTAACTAAAATTTCTTTAAAACCTCTTGGTACCAAATGCAGTGGGAGGAACATGGATGCCTCCAAGTTGATTGTAAACTCTTGGATGGCAGGGATTACATTTTACATTTCTTTTATAGACTCTTTAACCCCCAGCCCAATGCTGAAAACACTAGTAAGAGGCTCCAGTGAAATGGATACTAGATGAGTCAGAAGGCCCCAGTTCCAGTCTTGGCTCTGCTTCTTACTATCTTAACTCTTAACTATGTGTGTGAGGGGAGGCAAGTGCCTTAACCTCTTCTAAATTTCTATATCCTCCTCTATAAGATAGCGCTACCTACGAGGCTATTTGGAGGAAAGTGCTTTGGAAACCTGAAACCACTATAAAAATGTGAACAATCATTTTTTTCCCTTATAGACTGAGCTGAGGGTCTTACAGGTGCTTTTTTTTTTTAATGGACTAGAATTTAGAACTAGAAGGAGCTTGGAGTTCTTCTAATGTTTTTGTAGCTAAAGAATGTGAGCCCCAGAGAAAAGAATTGACTTCTCCCAAGGTCAGAAAAGGTCATAAATAGTAAAGCCAGCAGTGGAATCAAGAAGCTAGTGCTCTTTGGACTGTTTGATATTGTCTATTAATTAAGACTTATTCTCTTGACAAGAATTATGGAAGGAGGAGAACTTCCTCCCATTCTACAGAACTGCAGCAAGATTCCTAAAGGAGCCCTTCCCCAGCAGTTACTTCATTCAGTGGAAAGGGGGAAACAAAAGGGGAGAAAGCATGAGCAGGGGTCCCTCCAAAGCTTTCATTACTGTGGATTGAAATGTGTTCATAGAATTTCTAACCAATGAAAACTGTTCTTAGGTCAAACCCAAGAACTGACATTCCATGGCAAGTGATCAGAGATAATCACTCCTCTACCTTTCACTGTGCTTTTTTGTTCTGTTAAATTTCTCCTCTCATTAGCCAAGAGCTCAGCCCCCAAATCCTTTCAGATTGAAAGTACTCACATGCTGACCTGGGGCATAATCAGTCCAAGAGTAAAGCATGAAGAGATATCTACGTAAAGTTTCCGTTAAAAAAAAAAATTCTCATAAGTTTTATTCCCGGTGGAGCCCCTTGGTTGAAAGAGAAGAAAAAAACACAATTTGAAGACTTTTTTTTTAATCTAGTTGTGTCTTTCTGACTGCATCTGCAGTGATAGAAGCAGCATTCATCTTCATGCTCTAAATATTGCCTTATACTGTTGATTCTTTTGACCCAGTATCACTTTCCTGTGTGGGGCTAATTGTAGAGGATGGACTGCAGGCTGAACAAGATGGATTTCGAGGAAGGTTGGGCTCCTTTTCATTTGGTTTCCGAAACAAACCCAACACAGTCTTACAGAAAATCTCATCTGGAATAT